GCATAGAAATGCAAAGATACTGACAAAAAGTCTGAAAGATACTGGACAAACAGATTGTATCACAGTGTTGTCTATTGAAAATACTGAATATTGAGTATCATTGTGCTTGTGTAATTATTCTCACTAAAAAATTTAGGTAGGACTCTAAAGACTTAATAAAAGTGAAAGAAGTCATTGAAAGGTGTTTTCTCCCTTCCTGCACGTGTCTATCTATTCCTTAGGATTGCATGTCTACCTTCTTTATTTGGACTGTGATTAAAATGGATTGAGTTTCGTTCGTGGTTTGTTTTTTTTTAAATCGACTGAGTTTAAAATCAGATACTCATACCTGGTATCAGACTTTGATCGTGCCTGCGATGTGTTTCTTGCCTTACCTTCACGTGTGAAGCCAGTGTCTCTTGAAACCAAATTCCAATGGATTGTGAAAATACAATTTTATTCTACAGTTGTACTAATGTATGTGAAATAAAATAATTGCCAAATGAGGTAAAAACCTTACATAATGATCTGTCAATCTCTTGTGGGTATTCACTTTCAAATAATCTTAAAATCTAAAAAAAAAAAATAATCTATTTACCTTTCCAAAACACAAACATATGGACAAGATGGCTCTGTCTTATTGAGTTATACAGTTTTGCTATATTTAAAATCTTGTTCAATTTAGTGAGGTGTGATTCTCAAGATAAGCAATGAGTTCTAATGGATGATAAAATTCAAGTCATAATCTGAGATAAAACTCTCTGTAGCCTAACACCTTAAAAGGAATGTAAAATGCAACAGTATATTTGCATAAATGCTGAACAATCGAATCAAATAAAATCTATACTAAAGGTTACATATGAAAGTACAATTTTATAGTGTTTCTAATTAAGAGAAAAGACCCACGTTGGCTAAGTGTATGTGGCTGAGCAGTTCTTAGCTAAAATCAGCGTGTATGGCCTCCGCTCCCAGGCCTGCGTCTGTGTGGGCCTCACAAGCGCTGAGGTCAGGGCTGAATAATTCCTCTGTATTCACATACCTTCACTCCTCAAGTTTGTTTATCCATCACCCAGTCCTGTTTTTTATGGTCCCATTTCTCTGCAGTATCTTGTAGCTTCTTGGCCTCCGATTTACTTTCCTGGAGATGAAGCATAAGAGGATTGACGTTTCTTGTTTAGATTAGTTGCCAGGTATTTAATACATTCTCCTGAAATGAAGGACTCATTTTTACAGAGCGAAAGAGAAGATCAACCTTGTAAAATAAAGATGAGCTCTATGTTTGGATGAAATGCAAATTGGTTAATACCGATTTCTAGATTGTTTTTCAGCCCTAGTTTTCTCAGGGAGGAGGGAAATGAAGAGACGTCTTGCCTTCCACACTCACTGGACTTAATTAGAGTTATTAAAAAGATATAATTATAGTTACTAAATAGTGATGAAAAATAAAGAGTTGAACTACCAACTATTCTCCAAATAAGCCATTTAAGAAGAATTATTTGAAATCTAAAGTGAACTTTTGATTCTTGAATTCTGTAAGCAGGGAGTTAGAATAAACTAAGTATAAACTTTTGAATGTTCTCCCCGCCCCCACCCCCGTGAATGTTCTTGTTGCCTCTGGGAACTGATCTCTTCATATCCTATTGCTGAGAAATAGTTAAAATATCTTCTTACATTTATATACTATTTTGAAGTCAAAAAGGTCACATTTCTGCTTGACCTTTATCATGACCCTGTGTGAGTCATTTTGAGATGGATCAGTGTTATCCCTACTTTACAAACATGAGACCATATAGCTCACCTTTGTTTACACAGCAAAGAAGTGACTAAAACACAACCTTCTGATGGCTTTTCAACTCACCAGGCAAATCTGTAATACATGACCTTGTGAAGGTAAAATAATGTTACCTCTTCATTTTCTGTTCGATATGCTCTTTATCTACTCCTCATTGTCAGTTCGTTCGACAGCGGATGTTTGCATGGTACCACTGGTATTTCAAATACAATTAAGATCAACCACGACAGATTTCAGTAGCGTTTCCAGAAAAGATGCGGAAGAAGGAACCTATCATCTTAAACTTTATTCCTTTTTTAAAAAGCTCTTAGAAGTTCTCAGTGAGATATTTATAAATAGCAGCATAACGTTGTCTGTTGTAGTGCTAAGAAGATGACCCCTTCCAGTTGGAAGGCAGTCAAAACATGACTGGGGAAGAGTTGCCTCCTCAAAGCACAGCCACCCTTAATGATGTGGATATAGGAATGTTTTCAAAAACCTTCCTTTGCTGATACGGAGTGACTCAAAGTGAAAAGAAACAGCTGCAAACAGCCATTAATAATCAGAACATAGGATGTATTAAGTATGAATCCAAGAAAATTGGAAGTTGTAGAAAAATTGAATATACAATACAAAAGATTGATATCCTAGGCATTAATGAGAGCTGAAACAGACCAATATTGCCATTTTTAATTGGGCAGTCAGATAGTCAGTCCACTGTATCAGGAATGACAAATTGAAGAGAGACGATCCCATTCATTTTCAAAAAGAGTAATTCAGGATCAGTCTTGAAGGACAAGGCAATTATGGATAGAATTATATCCGTATATCTACAACAAAGGCCTAGGTAGCTCTGGTGTCCTAGTGGTAAAGAATTGTACTGCTAGTGGAAGGGGAGGCGATTCAGTCTCTGAAAGCACGATAGACAATCTCCTTTCTTGCAATTTACAGCCCCCGGAAACCTTTGGGACAATCGGCTATAGGCCGGTTCTGACTTCTGCACATATCAACAATGTAGCAAAGACCAGCTAATTTGACTGTCATTCAAATTTATGCACCAATCACCAGTGCCACAGAAGAAGAAATTGAGGATGCTAATTTCTACAGTCTGAAATTGATCAGAGTTGCTATAAAGACACATTAATAATGACTGATGTTGGAATGTGAAAGTTAGACAGAACGCATAGAGCTAGGTGGAAACATAGAGCTTTGGTGATAGAAATTATGCTTGAGATTATTAGAATTCTATATGATGATTGACTTATTCATCGTAAATACCTTTTTTTAAACAACACAAACAGTGACTATGTACATGGTCTTAATAAAATGAAATACATAGGAATCAAATCTATTATAACTGTGGAAAGAAATGGTGGAGAAGTTCAGTGTACTCATTCAGAACAAGCTCAGTGGCTGACAGGTCATCAGTTTCTCATACATAAGCTCAAATTGAAACGGAAGAAAATCAAAGAACCAATGAACAACCTTAAGTATACACCACTTGAATGTAGTGATGGTTTGAGGAATAAATTTGTTACATTGAATGCTAATGACCAAAGATCAGACAAGTTTGGGATGACATCATAATGATGAAAGCAAATCATTATTAAAAAGACAGGGAGAAAAGGGCAAATGAATATAAGAAGAAATACTGAAATTTAATCCAGAACAAGTGAATGAAAGATGATCTGAAATATAGGAACAGAATACTTCACAGGGAAAGTCAAGATTATAAAATAAAGTATTATAAGGAAGTGCTAAAGAACTCAAGTCAGAAAACTCAAAATAGGAAAATAGGTAAACATTCTCTATGTTTCTCAAGTTGGAAGAACTGAAGAAAAAAAATTAAACAATTTTGATGCAACACTGAAGTATTCTATGGACAAATATTGAAGAATGAAGGAAGCATTGAAGGAAAATGAGGCACTGTGCCAAAAAGAATCAATTGGTGCTCAGTTGTTGCAGAAGGTAGCATATGATCAAGAACCAATGATACTAAGAAAAAATGGTACCAATTGAAATGTCTCAACAAACACATGCAATGGTGGATGACAGCTACCTGACCAACTAACTAGAAGAGATTCACATGTGATCCTTACAAGGAAAGTTGTTCCAATAGAAAGAACTTACCAAGTAATATCATAATAACACAGGCAAGTAAAATGATACTGAATATAATTAAAAAATGGATTGCAGCAGCACATCAGCAGGGAAATGCCAAAAATTCAAGCTGGATTCAGAAGAGGATGTAGAATGAAGGATATAATTGCTAATATCAGATAATTGTTGCTTAAAGGCTAAGAATATAAAAAAATATTTCTGTTTTATTGACTACACAGAAAATGTGTGTCATAACAAAATATAGATAAATTGGAAATTTCTGAATAATTGATTATACTTTTGTGGAACCTATGCAAACACCAGTGGCTAGAATAGAACAAAAGATACTGTGTGGTGTAAAATTAGGAAAGGTTTGTGTCAGCAATGTATTCTTTCACCATACAAATTAAATCTGTATGCTGAGCAAATAATTTGAGAAGCTGAATTGTACGAATAAGAATGAGGTAATGGGAAAGGAGGAAAATTCATTAACAACCAGGTTTGTACAAATGAAACAAACTTGTTTGCTGAAAATGAAGAGAATTTGAAGCACTTCTTGCTGAATCTCAAAGTTGATAGTAGCTTTTGGTATGGATTACACATCAACTTAAAGGAAACAAAGCCCTAAAAATTAATGAATATTGTTGTTGTTGTTGTTGCATACTGTAGAGTTGGAACCGGCCTATAGGTGACCCTTCCCCAGGTTTTCAGAGGCAGTTAAATTACATGGGAGGAGACTGCCCATGCTTCTCCCATGGAGCAGCTAGTGAATTTGAACTGTGTGCCTTTGGGATTGTAACTTTTAAGCAATATCATAATAAATGCAGAAAAAAATAGACTTCTCTCAAGGATTTCATTTTACTTGGATCCACAATAGAAGCAGCAGTTAAGAAATGAAATTGCGTATTATTTTGTGGAAATCTGCTACAAAAGACCTCATTAAAAGAAAGTCTACAGACTGGGGAAGAAGTATTTAGCAATGACATTTCAGACAAAAGATTTATAACTAAAATTTACGAAATACTACACTGCCTCCCTAAGTAAAAGATTGATAATTTGGTTATAAAATGGGCAAAAGACGAGTTCTGTGGTCAACCCCGTAGGTCTTTGCTGTTTAGGGCAGCTGCTGAGGTTTTTGCCTGGCGGTAGCATGGAGTTATTTGACTCCGAAGACTTTTTGACCTCAGAGGAAGACGAGGGATTACATGCTGTCGCTTGACACCAATTTGTTTTGTGCCCAGGACGTCATTTTGACATCTCAGATCGAAGGTGGAAAGTATAGTGAAGATGATGCAAGCGAATTAGTGAAGGAAAGTGAAGTGGATGGCGAAGAGCAGACACAGAAAACTCAAGAGGAAAAAAAGAAGGCTCAGAGCTTTCCAGCCAGAAAGAGAAAACTGGGTGGCCTTTCATTAGAAGGAGAAGATGTGGATGCCGGAGCGGAATCTGGAGGGACCAACAGTGAGGAGGAAGATGGGTCAGCAGAGCAGGAAAAGGACAGTAAGTCAGAAGATGCAAGAAAAAAGAAGGGTGAACTCTGGGCCAGCTTTCTCAATGATGTCAGACCAAAATCAAAAGTGTCTGCTGCAAGTACTCGAGTTAAGAGAGAAGAGGAAGCTGCAGAAACAAGTTCAAGTAAGTTGGTGAAACTTGAGGATCTGACAAGGCCTCCAGAAGCTGAAAAGGTCAGGATCACCAAGGTGTTTAATTTTGCTGGTGAAGAAGCCAGGTCAGGTGCTGTCAAGCTGACTACGCCTTATAGTGACCCTGTAAACAACAGATGGGAACCTTGCCCTATCCCGTGCCATCGTCATGATCTCCGCCATACTCAAGCCCATTGTTGCAGTCACTGTCATTCTGTTTCATTGAGGGTCTTCCTCTCTCTTGCTTGCCCTCCCCCTTTCCCAGCATGATGTCTCTTCCCAAGCACTGACCCCTTCCGACAACCTGAGTGAGCTCAGGTGGCGGTGTGGTCTGGCGTTTTGAATCCACCAGCAGCTCTGAGGGAGAAAGATGAATAGTCACTTCCTGTGCAATTTGCAGCTTCGGAAACCCGCTGGAGAACCCACTATGTGTCGACGGCAGTGAGGTTATCTAAGGAAATATATAACTTTACCAGTGGCCTTACCTAATAAGAAAAACTGATCAATAATTGTTGCTATGAGAAGTCATTAAATTTCATAATAAAAAAAAATGGGCAAAAGGCATGAAAAAATTCTTCACCAAGGAGGATATTCAGATGACCAACAAAGATGAGGAAATGTTCAAAATTACTAGCAATCAGAGAGATCCAAATTAAAACAAATATATAAAGTTTAACAGGGGAGTAAACAATAAATATTGTCAAGAATATAAAGAGATTGGAACTCTCATTCACTGTTGGTGGTACTGTAAAATGATGCATCCACTATAAACAGCAGTTTGGCATATCTTCAAAAGGTGAATGAAGAAATCCCATATGATCCAGATATTCCACTACTAGGAATTTACTTCAAGAAAATCAGAGCTGAGACACAAATTGAGATATGTACACTTATATTCATTACAAACTTATTCACAATGGGAAGAAAGTGGAAACATCCCAAATCCTCATCAACAAATGAATGAATGGATAGAAAAATTGTGGTACATCCTCACAGTGGAATATTATGCAGCACCGAAGGGAAAAAAAAATTGTAAAATACTGCACAACATAATCAAGTCTAGAAGGCACTATGTTGAATGAAAAACTTTACCACAAAGAATACTGCATAAGACCACTACTGTGAAAATAGTAAGAGAACTCTGTGTGTGTGTGTGTGTGTGTGTGTGTGTGTGTGTGTGTGTGTAAAGAAGATGGAAGGAGGAGAAATCAAATGTACAGACAATAAACCTGTAAAGGATCAGGACAAGGGAGGATCAACTTGAGAACTGATGAAAGGACAATATGGCTGTTGCAATTAGCAGATCTTTATAGCTGTTCAAAAGGGGTAGGGAGTGCAGAGAAGAGAAACAGAAGAAGGGAAAGAGGGTAAAGATCATTTAGGCAACAGAGATTAATAGATGGAAGGTGGGGCGTAGGTAAGGTGTAATGGGAACTTGATGAAACCAATAAAAGGCATTGATCAAAAATAAACAATTATATAAAACACAATGTATTTGAATAATTTTAAAAATATCTCTTTAAAATTCTAAAAGCGAAGATGTGACTTTGAGGACACCAAACTGATATTTTCAGTAACCTTATGCTCATATAACAAGTGGACAATGAATAAGGAAGACCACAGAAGACTTGATAATGTGAATTATGAAAAATAATCAATGCTATTAGCAACCACTTATTAACCAGGACCAGCAAGGAGTTCTTCATCAGGTTGATTTTTTTAAATTATTTTATTAATTTTAATGAACAGATATTTTGGATTTTCATTCATTCATTGTTGCACTGTTTTCTCTACCCATCTCCCCCCAGTTCACTCCTCTCCTTGAAAAGCAAAAGATAAACTTCTTCGTTGGTATATTTTTGAGGCTATCAAAAATTAAGGGTGAGGGATCTCTGGTGGCCTAGTGGCAAGAAGCTGCATTGCAATCCCAGAGGTATGTCGTTTGAATCCACCAGATGCTCAGCTAGAGAAGGAAGGGCAATCTCCTCCTGTACCAGTCAGATCCGATTTGATGATACACACACAAAATAATAAAATAAAATAAATTTTAAAAATTAAGTATGAATTATGATATTGTTGACAAGTATGTCTTAGACTATGAGAAAGACTTATTTATCTTGGAAAAAGTGTAGTTAAAATGTTCATTAGAAGTTAGGATGGAAAGATTTCATCTCACATACTTAGTATACACTATGAGGAGGGACAAATACTTGGAGAAGGACTTGGTAAAGTAGGTCAGAGAAAAATAGGAAGACCCTTAATGAGGTGGACTAACACAGTAGCTGCAACAATAGATTTGAATATATGAATAATTATAAGGATGGTGTAGGTCAGGCATTGTTTCATTCCCTTTAGAATCAACTCAATGACACCTAACAATAATATTTTTGTTTGTTTTAAATTAGGGGTTTTTTCCTCTCATTTTATGATGCAGATTTCTCTCCCACACTTTCCATAACTGACATTATGTTTCATACAATCATTCCCATACATTGTGTTTTATAAATCACCATTGAACTATGCCCATTATCACTCAGTCTTTACATGTCCCCTACAGATCTTTTCCATTTCTTTCCTCCACCCAACAAATTGTGAAACCCTTTGGTTTTCTTTCTAGCCATCCTCACCCCTCTTCTCCCACCCCCACCCCCTTGGATTCCCATACATGTTTTGCTAGTTATTATTCCATTTTTACAGTAATGGTCTTCTGCAGTATTTGTCCTTATGAAACAGTCTCTTGGAAGTTTTGTAGTATTTTTCAAAATCATTGCTCCTGTGCACTATAGTATTTCATTGTGTGAATGTACCCCTATTTCTCAATCCATTTGATTGGACATTTGGGCTATTTGTATCAGCTCGTGTGACGGTGCATAATCCTGCTATGAACATTGGGGTAGAAATCTCTATTTGTGTCTCACTTCCAATTTCCTTGGGGTATATTCCTAGTAGTGGAATAACTGGGTCATAATGGAAAATAAGGAGAGTATGCTTTCATATTACTCTGATCAATCTCTTTGTTGTTGAGTCAGAACCAACTTCATAGAAGACCTTCCATTGAGTTCCCAAGACTGTAAATCACACAGGAGGAGATTGCCTGTCTTTCTCCTACAGAGCTCCTGGTGAATTTGAGCCAGAGAGGCTCAGTCTTTGGGTTAACAGAACAATGGCCTATGGACTGGGCCACCACAGCTCTCACCAGAGCTCACATTAGTGGATAAAGTATGATATTTTCTGGGCCATGAACTTGCATTCATGCAAAGAATTAGAGTTATTGGGCAGTGTAGTCTGTAGGAGTTGTGGTGATAATCTAAAAGCTGTGCCTTCCTGGTGGCCTGAATCCACCAGTAACAATCCAGGAGAAAGATGGACAATCTCCTTCTGTGCAATTTGCAGCCTTGGAAAACCAATGTAGTGTCAGCTATGAATCTATTCAAACTCTGTGGGAATGAGTTTTATTTTTTTAGTTTATCTTAAATTTCATTTCTTTCTCCATTGTATCAGCAATTTCAAAGTTAGACTCAGTCACTTTAGGATCATTTCTCCCCCTTTTTATTCCTGTTAGGACTTAGGGGTTTAAGGGGTCCCCCTTAGCAACAAGGTAGCTATATGGAGCTTGTGGTTCCTTTTTGAGTACCAAGGTATCTAGACAGGGTTTGGGGTACTTGCCTAGGCAACAGAGCATTGGATGTGGGCTTTTGGATTTATAGAGGTCTTTCATAACAACACGGTGTCTTTTATAACAACATGTTGTCTGAGGTAAGTTTGAGGGAGGAAATATTAGAAAGGAAGGATATAGTTGGGTCTCTTTGTATCTAGTAATGCCGGCATCTGCTGAGATGTGCCATCTATTTTGATTCTCAGCCAGTCTCCACCCCTTCAAGCTGGCATTGATCATGATGAATGATGCCTCATCAGACCCCTGTCTGGAAGCTCCACGACGTATCTTTTCCTGAAGTGGCTGCTTGCCCTGGCCTCCAGGCCTCCAGAACACCTTCTTCCCCTCCCCTCTCTCATTCTCATTTAGCTGTACCCCCACTTGAAAACTGTTTGGTGACACAATGACAAAAGGAGTTTTGGGGGGACTGGCCACCAAGATGGAAAACAAACCCAACCCTCTACATCTCACTGCCCTCTTCCCAGCCTAGCTAGGCACAGTATTCAACCCTAATCACAGGGAGGCCCACAAACCTCTCAGCTATCTCTTCTCCTTACTTGCTTTAAGGAGCAGTAGTTTAGGTGGTGTTAAGGGATCAACTCCAGGAAGATTGGTTCTCTATGATTACTATCACCTTCTTTGTCTTATTCCAGCAAGAGTGACTTTTAAATTTAAAAAGTCATGATTTGACCTTCTGTTCACCCATCACCTCTAGAATCAACCCCAATGGAGGCCATATATCTAATGGTCCTAATGGGAGATGCTCATGGGGTCATAAGGCTAAAATAATTTAAAGGGGAAAAAAAACCCCACATATGGCTAATATATCAAATAATTACCCCACCACACTAAGAAGTACATAGAGATTTGATACATAGATTTTAAATAAAGAATACATATGACTGCATAACTTCAGTTTTCTTCTGTAAAACTTAAAGTCAAATAGTCCATCAAAAGGTCTATAAAGTTACAACTAGAACAGTCTTAAAAATCCTATGTGCTCAAAGAAACATTAAAACATACATCCTTTTAAAGAACAAGGTTAAAGTAGAACTCCCTTAGAGGTGAAATTCACATTTGGGGAAACACTGTATTATAAACCGAGAAATAGGTAATCTCAAATGTTCATACATCAATGGTAATCATTTTTGTAATAGCTATGTTTGAAATTTGTTGGTAGCTTGTCAACCATCACAGTGTATCTTCAGCGTTCTCTTTCCCAACAGAGATAAAATTTACAATATAATGAGTTCCTAAATTAAAAAATGCAGAATGTCATATTTGAAGCATGATGACTGATGCAAAATTGACTCATAAAAATGCAGTTTACGGCTATCTTCCATCAAATGCCTTAAATATGAAAAAGTTTCATACAATAGATTTTCTTCTCAAAACAACATCAATTTACACTTAAAGAATCTGAGAAAACAA